CTTCGGATATGGAAACTAAGTGGTGATTAATAACGCTTCGGATGTGGAAACTAAGTGGTGATTAATAACGCTTCTGATATTGAAACTAAGTGGTGATTAATAACGCTTCGGATATGGAAACTAAGTGGTGCTTAATAACGCTTCTGATATGGAAACTAAGTGGTGATTAATAACGCTTCTGATATGGAAACTAAGTGGTGATTAATAACGCTTCTGATATTGAAACTAAGTGGTGATTAATAACGTTTCTGATATGGAAACTAAGTGGTGATTAATAACGCTTTGGATATGGAAACTAAGTGGTGATTAATAACGCTTTGGATATGGAAACTAAGTAGTGCTTAATAACGCTTCGGATATGGAAACTAAGTGGTGATTAATAACGCTTCGGATATGGAAACTAAGTGGTGATTAATAACGCTTTGGATATGGAAACTAAGTGGTGATTAATAACGCTTCTGATATTGAAATTAGTATTTATTTCAATGCACTTTACAAATTATTACTGTTGGTGCTGATGTTAGTTTTATGGTTTATTATAACATAAAGTATGATGAACCAGAACAATGTATTATAGTGGACACTAACACGTACCAGTGTATTATATTGTGATTTCTAACGGTATAATTATAGTGGACACTATGACGTACCAGTGAATTATATTGTGATTTCTAACGGTATAATTATAGTGGACACTATGACGTACCAGTGAATTATCTTATGATTTCTAACGGTATAATTACAGTGGACACTATGACGTACCAGTGAATTATATTGTGATTTCTAATGGTATAATTATAGTGGACACTATGACCTACCAGTTAATTATATTGTGATTTCTAATAGTATAATTATAGTTGACACTATGACCTACCAGTGAATTATATTGTGATTTCTAACGGTATAATTATAGTGGACACTATGACGTGTAGGTTTTGTTACATTAACCAGTGAAGTGTGTCTGAATTAAAGCTGTAATTGGACAGTACAGCTATGATGATTACTGTTATAAATTAGACATGAATACTTCTTGTGTCGACGTTAGGGAAGAAGGAGGGATAACTCAAGAAAGGATAAACATCAGGATATCTTTGTAAGCAACTAATTCAACAAAAACAGTCAGAAACAACAAAAAATACCACTTAATAAGATGCGGGAAACATTTATTGTAAAGCTAACAAGATTTGGATTTGACAATCACCCTCTACTGATCCCCTAAAGGCATGCTGGAAGTGTTCCGAAACGTCAGGTGAGGTCAACATTTCCACCGTCAAGCGTAGCACTGAAGCAGCGTAATTAAATTATTAATTACACTGTTAGCAACGGATTAATTATGTTATTGTAGGTTCTGTTCACGTGATCTTAAACACTATGGTGTCATGGAAATACCTCTAGGTTGTCATTTCAAGCTGTAAGACCAGATACAAAGTGACAATGTTGATATTGTAATTTGTCGCACCAAGTACTTAAACAGCTAAGTATATGTATGTACTGATACAGGTAAGTATCTGTATATACTGATACAGGTAAGTATATGTATGTACCGATACAGGTAAGTATCTGTATATACCGAAACAGGTAAGTATATGTATGTACCGATACAGGTAAGTATCTGTATACACCGATACAGGTAAGTATCTGTATGTACCGATACAGGTAAGTATCTGTATGTACCGATACAGGTAAGTATCTGTATATACTAATACAGGTAAGTATCTGTATATACTGATACAGGTAAGTATCTGTATATACTGATACGGGTAAATATCTGTGTGTACCGATACAGGTAAGAATGTGTATGTACTGATACAGGTAAGTATCTGTATGTACTTAAACAGGTAAGTATCTGTATGTACCGATACAGGTAAGTATCTGTATGTACTGATACAGGTAAGTATCTGTATGTACCGATACAGGTAAGAATGTGTATGTACCGATACAGGTAAGTATATGTATGTACTGATACAGGTAAGTATCTGTATGTACTGGTACAGGTAAGTATCTGTATGTACTGATACAGGTAAGAATCTGTATGTACTGATACAGGTAAGTATCTGTATATACTGATACAGGTAAGTATCTGTATGTACTGATACAGGTAAGAATCTGTATGTACCGATACAGGTAAGAATCTGTATGTACCGATACAGGTAAGTATCTGTATGTACTGATACAGGTAAGTATCTGTATGTACTGATACAGGTAAGTATCTGTATGTACCGATACAGGTAAGTATCATTAATTATCATTCGTTAATGAGTTATTTTACTGTTAGGAACTGTTGTAATTGAAGAATACATCATCATAAACTGTTGTAATTGTAGAATACATCATCATCAACTGTTGTAATTGTAGAATACATCATCATCAACTGTTGTAATTGTAGAATACATCATCATCAACTGTTGTAATTGTGGAATACATCATCATCAACTGTTGTAATTGTAGAATACATCATCATCAACTGTTGTAATTGTA